AAGTACTTATCTAATAGCTGGCTTATGTTTATGATCTACAAAGAACTTTCAAAACACAATAGCAAGAAAATAAGCCAATTTTCTTTAAATAAGCAAAAATTTTAGTAGACATATTTTACCAAACATGATAAGAAAATGGCAAAAAAGTACATGAAAATTTGGTCTATATTATTAGTAATTACAGGAATGTAATTTAAAACCACAGTGAGATCCCACTAACCACCTATTAGAATGGCTGAAATTTAAAACAAAAAATGAAGAATAATACTAAGTAGTGGTGAATCTATGGAGCAGTTGAAACTCTCATACATCGCTGGTAAGAATATAAAGGTGTACAACCACTTTGGAACAGTTTGTCAATTTCACAAAAAGTTGTATATATACTTTCTATATAACCTGGCAGTCTAAGCAGTCAGATATACATATAATTGAAGGTTCAGAAAGAGAGAAGAGAGGGCAATATAAAAATTCATTTGAACAAATATGTACCAAAATATTTCAAATTTGATCCAAACAACAACCTTACCCAAACCAACCCAAGAAATGTAGTGACACACACTGTCAGGATAAATAAGAATTTTAAATTTACCAAGAAACTCCCAGCAAACTAAATACATCATGGTAAAAAAAAAAAAAGCCTACTGAAAACAAAACAAAAACAGAAGGAAGAGAGGAAGGAAGGAAGGAAGGAAGGAAGGAAGGACGGAAGGAAGGAAGGAAGGAAGGAAAAAAGAAAGGAGAGAGGGAAGGAGGGAAGGAAACAAGAGAGGGAGAAAGAGAGTAAGAAAGAAAAGGGAGTCAGCGAGAGAGTAAAAGGTATTATATTGAGGACATACCTACCTAACCACCACCTTACCCAGGCTGACTGCTCTTAAGGACCTGTGAAGAATAGGAGACAGTAATTTCTGCTAAATGTGCTGAAAGAAAAATAAAGCACTTCAGCTAGAATTCTCTGTCAAGGAGAAAACTTTCAAAACTGAAGAGGAAATAAAAACAGTTTTAGATAAGCAAAAGCTGAAAAAATTCATCATTAGCTGACCTGAACACAAGGATTGATATGGAAGTCCATGTACTTGATGGAAATTCAGATCCACAGAAAAGGAGGAAGGACACGCTTCTGGTTTAAAAGGCTTTACGATATCTGGCCCTCATCTATTGCTCACATTTATTCTGATAAGATGTTCTCTGGAACTCACTGCCCAGCCCAGTGTTTTTTGGTTTTGGTTTCTTTCTTTTCCAACTTCTGCAAAAGTAATCCTCAAGTCAATCTAGAGAGCACGACCTGTGTTTTACTTCTGAAGAAGTAGAGTAGAGTGGGGAATACCAGAGTACACCAGTGTGAAGCCTAAGCATTTTGCATGGCTGGATTTTTGAACTTTTAAGTTTGAATATTTAAAGTATTACCCTCTCTGAAAAGTCTTTGCTACCTTTCTAAAAGAGCAGGGAACTCTAACTAGTGTCACCATGATCTTTAAAAAAACAGTCCTAGAGCTAGAGTATCAAAAGTTGCATTTGAACTTACCTTCAATTTGTATCTGATAGTCAGATCTTTCTTAAAACTTGTCAGTAATGGAAAAAAAATTAGGAAAGACAATAAACTATAGTGACAGTATGCTCTAGGTGAAAAAACATTAGATTTTCTCTAAATCTTTTTGCCTAGAATTCAAATGCATAAATAAAGTCTTTTTTTTTTTTCAATTAGCATCTTGCCTTTCATTCCTTGCCTCTTTCTTCCCACGGGAAATTACTGCTTGGCACTAGTTTTTCTATGTGAAATTACCTTTCTTTTAATTCTGAAATTTCTCCACTTTTCAGTGGTCAAATGTAAACCTCCAGTACTTGAACATGGAAAAGCAATATCAGAAATTAGAGAAGTTTTTACCTACAAAGATGTGGGTGATACTTGAATGCCTCCAGGGTTTTTACCTTAATGGCAGCCATGCAGTCTTCTGTGGTGGTGAAAATACTTGGGAACCTGAGATGCCGAAGTGTATTAAAGGTACAACTGTTTGTCTTTTTTTTTTCCTGTCTTTTAACTTTCTCTTTTAGTTCTTATTTTGTTCACATTGATAAGAATAAGTGAAAAGAAGCAACCTTAGTACTTAACTCGGACATGTATCCACTTCCATGGCAGATACATGACAAAATTTACATACAATTCTGCTGCTGTGGTTTCGCATGCTGTTAGAGAGTCAGCACATTGCTTGTTAGCACATTACACAGGTGTATTAATACCTCTTGTTCAGTATTTTAATGTATAAAAAGAGATAGGAATCACTTTTCAGAATAAATTGAAGCATGGGCATTTTTACCTTGAAATAGGTCAAAAATGAGAGGCATAATTCATATAAATGAGAGGAAAGCAATAATCCCAAGTGGTTGATCCTACATTATTTTGTTTTTCAGTGCTGATTCTTCTCAATACAACACTTCTAGTTTCATGCCATTCAGATATAGTAATTTCCTGTTTATAGTTTACAAAAAAATCTTTTAAATTCATGTGATTTACAGTCATCATTTTTAGTAACAAAAAGATAAAGAATATACTTACAGTCATTTTAGTTGTGATACTTAGTAATTCTCAAAGCATTTGCCATAGTCCGCAGATATCAACTGTGTGTAAACTTGGGCAAGTTATGTAAACCTTAAATGTGTTTACTTACATGTAGGATGATCTAATACCTTTCTCACTGGGTAATAGCAAAGTTGGAATGGAGGGCATTTGAAACACTTAGCAAAGTACCTAGCATCTAGAAAGCTCTTAAAGGTAGCTCCCATGACTTAACAGCATCCCCTTTACAGAGTATCTTGCAGGTCCAGGACTATGGTTCATTTTCCAGACTGCAATCAGTTGGCTTCATTTTACAAACTGGGAAATTTCTGTTGTCACCTGATTAAAACCAGTATTTCTACCACACACACCATTCTGCACCGCATAGAGTTATTATTTTTCTCTCTCCTGGGCATTCTTATTTGGCAACAGAGGGTAAATCTCATAGCCACTGAATGGCAGGAAAAGTCTTTATTTATTGAAATGAACTGGGTGATTTCTGGACGGGACTATTGATCAGCTGCTCTGCTTAAGTCTTGAGAGACTATTTGAATGTGATGGAAGGAATTATCTTCCTGATTTTAGGGATTGCACCTCTGGCTTCTCTTTACAGCAGCAGCAGAAGCACGAGACAAGAGCAAGAATGGGTAGAGCACGAGCCTGGGCAGAGGGTGCTCAGGGTGCTAGGGAGGCTCTGCTCACTCAAGTAACATCACTGCTGTGAGTGTACTTCCCTGTTTAATGAAGGTGTGGAACTCACAGCTCCATGACTGGCTTTTGATGTGTTTGTCTTTTTCCTGTTGTCCTAATATTTTCAAGGATTGAGGGGAATTATTCATATTAACATGGTAATTAGAGCTCCTTTTTAGAACAGCTGTAAAGCTGGTACCCCGTATCGCCCTAGAGTACCGGGGTGAGGTGAGGGCTGTGAAGATTTGGGGGGAAAGAGATGATTTTTATTGGACCATATATAAAGAAGTTATACTCATTGACCCATCCCTGTTAGTCACAGGGTCCTAGTGAGAATATGCACTACAATATACTATGTTTGTTGATATGCTGTTTTGAAAAAGTGGACCATAAACACTTCTTAAGGACTTAGAAAACATTGATACAATTTAGTGTTTGAAGAAGAGAGAAATTGTTTGTGAGAAAAAAACTTATGAAAAGAAGAAACTACAGGGATTTAAAAAAAATCAAAATCAACTCTCCTTATGAGATTGCTAATCATTTTTTTATCATCAGTTTGAGACAGACTATACCAAAAGCATCAGTAGCACCATAAATGATGTTAGGTCAGGTTTAAATGTGCTAATACGAAAAAATGTCTAAGAAATACTATGCCAAAAGACAAACACAGAAAAAGATACAAATTATGGAATGTAATAGTGCCTGACCCTTTTAAAGAATACTGAGTTTTATGATTTATAGTTGACTACAGGGATTTCCATTATAAAATACAAAGTTGTGTTGTACATTTTATGCATACATCCTCACCTACATGTGCAAATATACACTTAGACTAAATTCCCAGGAGTAGACTTGCAAAGTTCTGAGTGTATTGTATTTTTTATTTGAGAAATAATTAACCTTTTTCTAAAATTAAAAAAAAATAGATACATAATTTTGTGTTGATAAGACTGATGCATTGAGCCAAATTTAATTTTGCAGGTTACAAGCCTACCTATCCAAAGAAGCCTCCAGTTTCAAACTATCCAGGTTCAGTAACTCTTTATCCTTCGTATATTGTTAAGAACTTTATAAGGTGATGAGTACAAAATCATGTCTTGCTTAATTTGCATTTCTTTAATTATCAGTGAGATTGAACTTTTTCTTATCTACATTTATTTATTATATTCTTTCTTACTTTTTCTATTAGGTTTCTTAAATATTTTTCTTGTTGATTTGAACTTATAAATTAAAGCCCTTTTAAGATGAAGTGAACTTTTTTCCTACGTTTATATTTTAGCCTTATTTTCACTAGTCGGTTTTTTTTTATGATTTTTATACTGTACTATTAGATGTAGGTTGCTTTTTATAAATTTTTGTTATATGAGTGGTACACAAATATAATTTTGTAAATTTTCAAACATTGCAGAAGTATGCAGAGTGAAATTAGATCCCCTGATCTTTCTCTAGCCTATTACCTGAGTTAATCACTGTTAATAGTTTAGAGTGTCTCTATGTATTTCTGTAGATCAAAATCCTTATATGTGTAATTATACATTTAGTTTGGTGGTTTTTTCCTCTCTTTTTCTTATACAGAAATGTTTTTAAGTGCCAGCACCATTTTCATTCCAACCAGTAATACACAAAGTTTCCAATTTCTCAACTTCTTTGCCAACATATATTGATTTCTGGGTTTTGATAATAATGATTATAATTTATGTTAGTTAATTGACTTGAAGCAATATCTCATTGTGGCTTTTATTTGCATTTCCCTAAGTTAGTGATGTTGAGCATCGTTTCATGTGAAGATATACAAATTGCCAAGAAGCCATTTCTCTTTGGAGAAATGTTTATTCAATCCCTTGCCTGTTTGTGAAATGTGTTGTTGTTGTTGTTGTTGTTGTTGTTGTTGTTATTGAGTTTTAGAAGTTTGTTACATATTTTGGATATTAATCCCTTATAAGGTAGTTGTAAAACTTCACTGTTTTGCATGTGGATATCCAGTTTTCCAAAAATTGTTTGTTGAAAAGACTGCCCTTCCCACTGAGTGTTCTTTGTACCCTTGTGAGCGATCATTTGTCCATATAAGTGAGGGTTTATTTATGGATTCTAATTTAGAGCATTGGTCCGTGTGTATGTCTTTCTGCTAGTAGCATTCTGCTTGATTATTGTAGCTTTTTAGTAAGTTTTGAAATCAGGAAATGTAAGTCCTCTCAACTCTGCTCTTCTTTTTCAAGATTTTCTTGGCTATTGCTAGCCCCTTGAGATTCCATATGAAGTAAATTGGATTTTTCTATGTAAAATGTATTTTCAAGATGGTGATAAGAAGTATAATCAATCTGTAAATTACTTTGTGTCATATTAACATCTTAACAATATTAAATCTTCCAATCTATGAACACAGGATGTCTTTCCATTTATGTCTTCTTCCCTTTTTTTCAATGTTTTTATAATTTTTGTGGACAAGTTTTTCAACCTTCTTGGTTCAATGTATTTCTGAGAATTTTTTGATGCTATGAAATGAAATTGTTTGCTTAATTCCCCGTTTGGATTGTTCATTATTAGTGTATAGAAAGATAACTTATTTTTGTGTGTTGATTTTGTATCCGTTAACTTTGCTGAATTTATATATTAGTTCTAATAGTTGTGTGGGAGTGTTTCTGTGCATGTGTGTGTGATCTTTTTAGAGATTTTTATGTAAAAGATCATGTCATCTATAAACAGACATTATTTTATTACTTCTTTCCCATTTGGATATTTTTTATTTTTATTTCTTAGCAAATTATTCTGACCCAAACTTCCAATATTATGTTGAATAGAAGTGGAGTGGCAGAATTATGCAGCCTGTCTTATTCCTGACATTAAGTGAAAAAAATTTTAATATTTCAACATTGAGTTTGACATTAGCCATGAGTTTTTCTATCCATGGCCTGTGTGTTGAGGAGTCTTTCTATTCCAGAGTAATCTCTAAATCATTTTTAAGTACTCCTCTTTTAATTTTAAGTAGAATCACATTGAATTCCAGGCTAATTTTGAATATACACTGATGATTAGTTTGTTTGCCGTACCACAGAATTAGTGACAAGGAACATCAGTGGACAGGAGGAAGAATGGCATTGAATATAAATTTATAATGTTTGACGATGCAGCTTTTAATGAGAGCCATTAATATAATGTATAAGGAATATTAAATTATAATTATAAATTATAATTGTGAATGTGTAGATCTTCAAGACTTATTTAGTCTTTTTTTTTAACCTAGTTCCATTTTTTTCTAGGATATCCCAATCCCAAAGAATTACTGTCACTTGAAGACTTTGAGGAATTAGGTATTATTTTAATTATTAACAACCCCACATTATGAGACCTTAGAGTTAGTTCTACATGGAAATATCATGTTCTAATCATTTGTAGGTAGGGAAGAAACAATGTGTCACAATTAGTAATAATTGACATTTATAGTTATTTTAGTAGTGCAGACACCATGACAAATGTAAGTGGCAATTTGCATAGATGCACATAGGCCATTTTCTTTAATCTAGTGAATTCTAACTGTCTTAGTAACCTGTACTAACTACCCTGACATGGTCGCTAGAGCACAAAACAGTGAAAAATGAGGTTCCTGTTAAGAGTTTCACAGGGTGGATCCTAACCCTGAAAACTGTTTACAAGGGTTCTGTGATCAAAATGACTTGGTTGCACTAGCAGTCATGCCAAAATTATATTGCCAAACCTTTTTTTTGCTGTAGTGTTTAGATGATCTGATCAAAATCAAAGCATAGTTGCTCTTTAGGACCCATACATGCTCAATGTCTTCAACACTGTTCATTTTTTTCTCAGATGTAGGAAGCTTTGCTGTGTATATCCTAACAGTAAGTAAGTATCCCAAATTTTTATATCATTTAAATCATAATGTAGTATAAAGAAATGCATTATTTTCTCAATGATTTTTCATTTGCTATAGTTTTAATAGCTTGAAATTAAGTAAAAACAGTCTAGAAAAACCCGACCTTTTATGATACAGCACCACCGTGCTGGTGACGGTACATGCTTTTTTATTCTGTATATCCACTTGGTAATAAGCAGTAAAAAATAAATTTTTTTTCAAGATGAGTAGTCATGCGAGTCTGTTTCTTGAATATGCTTTTGATTATTTCCTAAATTAAACAAGGAGTTGGACCTACTCTGAACTGTTTTAGTGACTTCCAGGGAACTGGATTTAGATACTGAAGGGTCAAGATGGAATATCAATGTTTAAATAAAATAACATTTTCTGACCATGGAAATGTAGCTAACATTTATTTCTGCTGCTAGGTTTGGAATCTTGGTAATTAGTTAGTGACATGTCACTTGTTTCCTGTTTTCTTTCAGTTGTTGCCATTTTACTAGTTTTGGTCTGCATGTACAGAAGTCTTCGAGGAAGGAAGCAGCAGGAGAAGGAGAAGAAAGAAGAGGAGGAAAAAGAGAAGAAAGAGAAGGAAGAGAAGGAGAAGAAAGAGAAGGAGGAGAAGGAAAAGAAAGAGAAGGAGGAGAAGGAAAAGAAAGAGAAGGAGGAGAAGGAGAAGAAAGAGAAGGAGGAGAAGGAGAAGAAAGAGAAAGAGCAGAAACGGTAAACTACAGTGCATTTTCTCTTAGTCTAACCTTTTTACTCTTGACATACTTTTGCGCAGTTATTATTTGTAGTCCATGTTGCATGCTGTGTGGGTTTTTTTTTATGTTCCTGCATGAGGGTGCTGTCTGAATTGCATTTCATTACTGAAAATATTTTTAGCTACTTTTCATATCATTGCAACAGGAGAAATTTATGCAGAGTTTCTTCAACTATTACAACTGCAAGAAACATTTCAGTGGCATTTGATGTTTAAGTTCTGCAGTAAACCATGGACTATTATGAGGCCTTCACTACTCTAAGTGTACCCTACTTCCTAGATTGGGCTAGTAGCCAAGATTAAAGTTTAAGTGGTTCATGGTAGAAACTTTAACATTTGTATTCACTTGCATTTTATGATGAAAATCTCCATTTGTCTGCACAGCTTAGGTAGTAAGTAAGAAGCTATGTAGCCACAATTCGGTTTCATTTCATTTAGAGTTGTTATCTATATAAGTTAAGCTGTGGAATTAAAAGCAGCATTATTTGATTTCCCTTTTATGTTCTCTTAATTTACTAAGCGGCAGTAAAACTGATGGGGC